AGCAGAAATGTGTACAAAGCTATTTGTGGCTTCTGTGATTTTTTTTAATTTCATCCCCAATTGCACCCCCTCAGACGGCTCGACAAACTCCAGCATGCTATCAGGGATGAAGAAAAGAGCAAACTACATAACATATCCCAAGCAGAAAGGTGTACAAAGCCAGTTGTGGCTTCTATGATTTTTTGTTTAATTTCACCCCCTCAGACGGCTCGACAAACTCCAGCATGGTATCTGGGAGAAAGAAAAGAGCAAATTACATAACATATCGCAAGCAGAAAGGTGTACAAAGCCATTTGTGGCTTGTGATTTTTTTTTAAATTTCATCCCCAATTGCACCCCCTCAGACGGCTCGACAAACTCCAGCATGCTATCAGGGATGAAGAAAAGAGCAAACTACATAACATATCTCAAGCAGAAAGGTGTACAAAGCCAGTTGTGGCTTCTATGATTTTTTGTTTAATTTCACCCCCAATTGCACCCCCTCACACGGCTCGACAAACTCCAGCATGGTATCAGGGATGAAGAAAAGAGCAAACTACATAACATATCCCAAGCAGAAAGGTGTACAAAGCCAGTTGTGGCTTCTATGATTTTTTGTTTAATTTCATCCCCAATTGCACCCCCTCAGACGGCTCGACAAACTCCAGCATGGTATCAGGGATTAAGAAAAGAGCAAACTACATAACATATCCCAAGCAGAAAGGTGTACAAAGCCAGTTGTGGCTTCTATGATTTTTTGTTTAATTTCATCCCCAATTGCACCCCCTCAGACGGCTCGACAAACTCCAGCATGGTATCAGGGATTAAGAAAAGAGCAAACTACATAACATATCCCAAGCAGAAAGGTGTACAAAGCCATTTGTGGCTTCTATGATTTTTTGTTTAATTTCACCCCGAATTGCACCCCCTCAGACGGCCCAACAAACTCCAGCATGGTATCAGGCATAAAGAAAATAGCTATCTTCATAACATATCTCAAGTAAAAAGGTGTACAAAGCCATTTGTGGCTTCTGTGATTTTTTTTTAAATTTCATCCCCAATTGCACCCCCTCAGACGGCTCGACAAACTCCAGCATGGTATCTAGGAGAAAGAAAAGAGCAAATTACATAACATATCGCAAGCAGAAAGGTGTACAAATCCATTTGTGGCGTCTATGATTTTTTTTTAAATTTCATCCCCAATTGCACTCCCTCAGACGACTCGACAAACTCCAGCATGGTATCTGGGATGAAGAAAAGAGCAAACTACATAACATATCGCTTGCAGAAAGGTGTACAAAGCCATTTGTGGCTTCTATGATTTTTTTTTATTTCACCCCCAATTGCACCCCCTCAGACGGCTCGACAAACTCCAGCATGCTATCATGGATGAAAAAAAGAGAAAATTACATAACATATCCCAAGCAGAAAGGTGTACAAAGCTATTTGTGGCTTTTACGTTTTTTTTTTAATTTCATCCCCAATTGCACCCCCTCAGACGGCTCGACAAACTCCAGCATGGTATCAGGGATGAAGAAAAGAGTAAACTACATAACATATCCCAAGCAGAAAGGTGTACAAAGCCATTTGTGGCTTCTATGATTTTTTTTTTAAATTTCACCCCCAATTGCACCCCCTAAGACAAAGCAAAAGTTAATTGCGGGTATGGTTGCTGTGTATTGAAACCTCCCCAATTGAAATCTACAAATGAAAAGCCTCTACAGGTAATTTGAACCAAGTTATATGACTATTACGATAGAGTTATATTTTTCTCAGTGTACATTTGTGGATGTGGATAACTTCACACCCGTGTTTAAAAATAGCCTAAAAATTTAATCTGGAGAAAAAATCTTAGTGCTTTGTTGGGTTCGTTCAAAGCTATAGACTAGAGAAGAAAGGAGTGCAGTAATTTAATTGGCAGAACGTAGTACAGGTTCAAGAGGTGGACATTTTACTTATTGTTCACCCTTCAATGCTTATTTGTAACTAAAATGAAAATTTTAATACATCTGATCGGCTTAATACAAATATTCATTTAGATTCAATCATGTTTCCATGGTTTGTACAATAATAAACATTTTCTTTTAACAGATAAGTCAGACTTTATCTATAGCCATATCGTATATATATTTTAATTAATTCGGAAATTTTGTATTAGTATACATTATAATTTTAGTTTTATAAGAATGGCAAGTGCATTGGAAAATATTGCAAGCATAAGTACGCATAAACGACCTGGTGGACACAAAGCATTAAAAAAAAAATCGTATTTAATAATCTTTGAAAAGACTTTGTTTCACTTTCTGTGAATGAAGTAGCCACTAAATGTGAGACCTATACTGACGTATCTAAGCAGACAGCGTATAACATTATTAAAAAAGATACAGTTATTTGAGAAGTCTCACATCCGAAAAAGCCCCCAGGAAGAAACAATACCTTTATTGAAATTTGGGTAAAGAATGTAATATGGCAAAAGGTACATTCGTTTTACTTTCGACATTAAATTCCTACATTTACAAAATTACAATCAGAAATAAAAAATAACCCCACTCTTTCAAATATATCATATTTTCATGTGCAAAAAATATTACATGAATTAAATTTTCGTTACAAAAAACGTAACAGAAACAGCTTTTTCACAGAAAAAGATGAAATCATTGCGTGGAGACATGATTAATTAAGGAAAATAGCGGACTCAAGGAATCAATAAAGAGGTATTTTACGGGGTATTTTATTTAGATGAAACATGGATTAATGCTGGACATACAGTAACAAAAATTTCAAGAGCTACTACATGATCAGTGAGCAGAATAATTAAACATTTACTGTCACCATGTTTATTTTGTTTTATAGTAGTTATAGCAACAAGGAATAGAGGTTAGTATAAATTCAGTATTTGTTGACCTACATCATATTTTTAAAAAATCATCATTGTTTTATTTTAATATTTGTATGCTGATGACTTTCACCACATTTTGTTAAAATATTAAAGATATAAAGTACAAAATAACCATTTTTTTTCATCCAATAAATTTTTTTAACAGAATACATTTTAGCTCATAGATAACAAACAAATAAATTTTAACAAATTCTGTAGTACTTAAACACCTATTTACATAATTGCGTTTAATCCATTATGTAGGTAATCTGGTATTTTCTATAATACCATCAAATGATAGCCATTCTTAGAAACGAGGGCGGACTCGATTTGACCGTTATTAAGGATTAAAATTTTAGGTAATTTTCTTAAAATTTTGTGATTAACCTGGCGGTGATCGTTTTAAAAATCCTAGAAAATTTATTTTAAGTGAAAGTAGTATATGCTACTGAGCTTTAATAGTAGCCAGTAAGATCATTTGAAGGTGTGTCAGCAGTGTGCAAACTTTACCCCACTATTGACAAATTAGGATGCGATGCCTGTAGACAAATTAACCTGAATAATAGACAGGGTTGGCAAGTACAGGTTTTTTGTTTTTTTTTTTTTAGATTTTTTAATAAAAACTAATAGTGAAAATTCTGCAATTTTAGGTTTTTAAGATATACATATTAAGAATTCACAATTTTACTAATCAACCCTTAGGAAAAAGGGTTGCAAATATAGTTCATCAAAATACTTCTTATATTAATATTACTGATAGTGACATTTTAAAAAAAATACCATTTATTTTTCACAATTTAGTTTTTTTTTGTTTGTAGAATGTGATTTTTTAATATAATAAAATTCTATTTTTCAAGTTTTGCTTGTATTTTTATTTTCAACTTTTATGTTTTAATCTGATACAGCCTGGAATCTACTTTCAGTCAAACCTTAAGTTTAACCAGTCCTTTGAATATGTTGCCCAATATTGGGTGTCCAAATTTGACATTCAGATTTTTTGGTCAACATGGAACAACTGTCCATCAAAAACTCCGTTTTTATTGTGAAAACTTATTAACCAAAATGGGGAATGTTTTTTGCTGAAACTGCAAGAAGATGTCATATGCATTTCGGAAGAAATTTAGCACCATCTGTTAAAGTTATTGAGAGTTTTATGAAGAGATTTTAACAGCAGAATATGAGGTGAAAAAATCCAGTAAATGTGACCGAGGTGTGGCGTTATTGGTCCTTATCTTTTCCAGAATGTAGCTGGTGATGCGATAACTGTGAATGGAGTGCAACACAGGACAATGATTAGAGATTATTTGTGGAACGAATTAGAAGATATGGATGTCCAGAACATGTGGTTCCAGCAATACGGTAACACTTGCCACACATCACATAAAACACTAATTTCTCGAATAGCTGAGGTTAATTGTCCACCTGGTCGTGCAACATTACACCATTGGATTATTTCTTGTGGGGATTTTTGAAGGAAAAAGTTTATGCTAATAACTCTCAAACACCTGAACAGCTTCGAGTTAACATTATTAAAAAAAAATGAAGAAATTGGACCAAAATATTTGCAAAAATGTTATTGAAAACTTTGGAAAAGAATCAGAGGGGTCACATGCCCAATATAATTTTTCATTATTAACTGTTAAACTTTAAAACAATACAATAACATTATAATATTTCATGGATTTTTTGTGTGTTAATATTAAATTAAATCCAAAGGTTATGTTTGGACACCTTTTATTTAGATTTAGTTTTAATAAACTCAAAATATTTTCAAGTGAATGTGTAGTACTTAATTCAACTTTTCAATGTTTATGAAGATAAACTTGAAAAAGTACAAATCCATTTGATATTTATAAAAATAAGTTTATATATGTTCCAGGTGAACTTGGACTTACTTGCATAATACACAATGAGTATCAGATAATATATCCAAGGTTACAAATTTTATTGTTTCAAGATTAACCTAGGTATAAGTTACCTATGTTACATCTTTAATGGTATAAAATTTTGCTAGTAATTGCATCAGTTAAAGAGACAAATTTCAATATAAGTTCGTTTTTAGTTAATCTAAGTTATGACTAAATTTTAATTTAAATAACAACTAAGAAAATATTACCTTAAATAACAACTAAGAGAATATTACCTTGACAGTCTGGACAGCGAGATTGAGTCTGTTGGGCCATACCAGGCGCTATCTGCCGATATGTTACCTTCAATCCACAACCATTACAATTTTGGCATCTTTCAGTTTTACCACTTTTGCTGCCTTTCCCATTACAAGTAGCACAAATCACATTTTTACTAAGTTGAAGCTTAGAAGTTTTTCCATTATACAAGTCTTCTAGTGTCACTTTAAGTGGGTGCATGGTATCCTCGCCTCTTTGCCTTCTTCGTGGGCCTCCTCCTCCACCACCAAATCCTCCAAAGCCACCGAACAAACCACCCCCAAATAGGTGTGAAAGCAAGTCTTCACCTCCGAATCCATCACTAGCACCTTCTTGCATGCCTTTAATACCAACTCTATCGTATAGTGATCTTTTTTTAGGATCGGAGAGAATTTCGTATGCATAACTAATTTCTTTGAATTTATCACCCGCAGCTGGATTCTTATCTGGATGAAATTCTTTTGCTAGCTTCCTATATTGCTGCGAAAAGAAAATCACGACATAAAAATGTGACAAGGAATAAAACGTCTGCTACCGTCCTTGATAGAACTTTTCGTTATTGAATCATGTTCATGGCCAAGTCAAGATTTTTTTTGACCTCTCAAATTAAAACCCCACAAAATTTAAATTGAAAATTGCAACTCACCTTTTTGATTTCATTATCTGATGCATTTCTGCTCACACCTAATACATCATAAAGTTTGTTGTCTGCCATCTTTCTAAACAAGGAATAAAAGACAGCTTTTATAAAGCATGCGTAAGAATTCCCGTCAAAATCAAAACTACCACAACAAGAAGTGACGTAAATGTCACTAAAGCATGACAAGCAAAAATATAGCACATCAGTTCAAGTTTCAAGTACCGAGTTCAAGTTTAAAAAGTAGAAAATTGTAATAATGGAAATCAAATTATGATCTATTTTTTTATTAATGAATAGAACATTTAAATTGTAATCGAGATAGGAAATGTTTGGCATGCAACTTATATAACAGTGGTGTTGTAATGTTAATAGTATAACTTTGCGTTCGGTTTTATAATAATTAGACCAGTAAGTAAGGACGTACCTAAGTACAAATTCCAAAAAAAAAAATTAAACTTCATGGTAAGATAAACTAGCGAATATGAAGTACCCAATGAATCGAAACTATTAGGCAATTTTGCAACTCGATACAGGGACGGCACCATTGTTAAAATGACAAAAAACGAAATTAATGTACCTATTGCCGGATGATCAAAAATTTAACATAGCTCTGCAAATTTGATTATTTATTTCAATATTTAAGATCTGGAGCTGAAATAGAGCTGAATTTGCAGCAACGTGAGCCTCCGTCAAAGTAATTAAATATGGGGTATATTCTGTAACAATTCCTTTATATTTAACGGCCTTTAAAAATATTGGCGGCCTTCAAAAATATGTTCGAAATTCGTTAATTTACTTCTGTCATTATTTAAACAGATTTCTTTAAGATAGTCCTCTAATGTATTTTAAAGATCCGTTTAAATAATGACAGAAGTAAAGAAGAAAATATTTTTAAAGGCCGTTAAATATAAAGGAATTGTTACAGAATAGACCCCTATGCATAGTTAAACGGAAAATTCGCAGTCACTACAAACTGAAGCAACAATATCAACTAAAAAAGTGAGAAATATTTTCCCTCCATGTTTTCTTACAATAAAAGCACAATTTCGCCTGTTTATCAATTACGCCCATTTAGCTGCTTCAGTATTCGACCTTTTGGACGAGTCCTCGTCTTATTTGTAAAACGTTAAAATTTATTTATTTATTTATTTATTTAGTGCATGAAGGTCGAAGTCGAAAATGTTTTTTATTTAGATGTCTTATTAACACTAATGTTGAAGTTTCTGATGTAAAACTCTTCTTACGGCTTGCCCAGCATTGGGATTCTCATCTTTCAATTCGGCACGTGTTGAGACGACTATCTTCGTTCCACAGAATGCGATTCGTATGTAATGTCTCTCTATTCAATTCATTACGTATTGAGTACGCACATAAGAATCCCTGTCCTGGTATGGAAAATATGAGAAAAACTTCTTACCGCCAGTGGCGGTTTGCCCGCAAGGGCACTTGGGCACGTGCCCTAGTATAATAAACAAAAAAAAATAACTTACATATTTTCCTCAATGCCTATTATTATTTTATCTAATATTCAGCGCAAACCGCGTTGGCATGACACTGGGCGACCGGGCGTTGAGTGACATTCCGAGAATTCCGAAATTAAGTGGGCACAGGGCACAGTAAATGTATGCGCCTGTGTTCTCTCTCATTATGATGCAAAAAACAAGGACAACGGCAATATCGCTTAGCAAGAGATGAACACATGCGATGGATTATACGTCACAAGCAGGGCGCTGTCCTTCCTCATCGAGACCTGCTGGTACCCATGGCACAGATTACCTTGACCAGATACGAATGTAAGGTGCGCGTTTGTTGGACCATGATAATAATTTATTTATTGTGATTACGAAAAAACGTTAGTTGGACCTTTGGAAGAGTTAATAAATAAAACTACGAAGAAAAATAACTTTTTTTTTATAAAGCAGTCAAAAATATGTAGAAAAAAAATCGATAATATTTATAAATGAGACAAAATTTTAATTTTTCTTTTGGTTTTGTATGACTTTTTCGAGGATTTCAAATCTCTGTTTGCATATTTAAGAGTATAAAAAATTCTGAGTCTTATAACTAATTTAATGGTGTACATTTTCGCAAATTGTTGGCAAGAATGACCAAATTCTATTTTGCTCATCTCAAAAAGATATGCGTTGGAAGTTCCAGGCTTAGTTGACAAACTATCAAATAGAGATATAAATATTTTTTCTAATTTGAAAATATAAAAGAGAAATTTTTGTATGCTTTAAAATGCTCCTACACGATGGAATTTTACATCGAAGTGTGTCAATACTATTTATGTTTATAAAGAGGATTTGATTAAATGTCTCGAAGAAATTATGAACACAGAATTCGATAAAAAAACTATTAATCAGACTAAAGGGTTGATAAATTTTGAAAGACATATTTTAGTTTCTGGTTATTTTTCTTCAGCAAAATAATGCCAAATTGCGATATACTTTTTGATCAACTGCAGAGTAGACAGCTCGATGCTATCAAGGTTAAGATAAACATATCAAATTTTGCAGCAGCTATTCAAAATATTAGAAATAATATAGACACGCTAATTCATGAAGAATGGCAATCACAACAAGACCCACAAGAACTAAACTTAAACGACAACACCCAATCAGGTTCAAGTACAAGCAAGAAGAGACGGTTTGTTGAAAAGGAGGATCCCGTTCCTAAATTAAGGATATGTAAGGAAATTTGTGATACAGTAGTAGTGCAGGTAAGTGAACGTTTTAGTTTTACTACTCACCTAACAATTGCAAGTTTATTTTATAGTGAAAAATTTAAAGACTACCGAGGTTGTTTTCCAAATAATGACGTTAAAACTGTGTGTAGTTTATTTCCAAACGTAAACAACTTTTTGAGAACAATTTGACAATTACATTTTCGAAATCTGTGGAGCTGCTAACTATCCTGTGTACAATTCCCATGACCACAGTGGAGAGTGAAAGATGTTTTCCGACACTAAAACGTATTAAAACATTTTTAAGGAACACTATGTGCCAAGATAGATTGTGCGCGTTAGCCATGTTATATATCGAAAAAAATCCAGAAGAATAGACTTCAATTATAAGAAATAGTATACAACTGCAGCGGTACCTAGCAGTTAGTCTTCAATTTTGTAATATTTAATTTGTTTTGAAATATATTTTTTATTTTCATTAAGCGGAGAACTTGTTTTCCTAAAGGAATAACAAATCCCGGGATTCCTTTCCAGTGTGTGCCCCACTGCCGCTAGTGCCCACGAGCCGCCACTGCTTACCGCTTGACCTGGCATGAAATATCTGAGGAGTGAAAAGATAAAAACGATATATTTCAATGTCCCGACAGCTCGAAAGCCTAGTACGATCGTCGTTTAGCGTTAATTAAAATAAAAATAAATAAATTCCGAATAATATCCGAATAAATTTCGAATAATTTTCAATATATACCGAATAAATTCCGAATAAATTCCGAATAAATTCCGAATAAATTCCGAATAAATTCCGAATAAATTCCGAATAAATTCCGAATAAATTCCGAATAAATTCCGAATAAATTCCGAATAAATTCCGAATAAATTCCGAATAAATTCCGAATAAATTCCGAATAAATTCCGAATAAATTCCGAATAAATTCCGAATAAATTCCGAATAAATTCCGAATAAATTCCGAATAAATTCCGAATAAATTCCGAATAAATTCCGAATAAATTCCGAATAAATTCCGAATAAATTCCGAATAAATTCCGAATAAATTCCGAATAAATTCCGAATAAATTCCGAATAAATTCCGAATAAATTCCGAATAAATTCCGAATAAATTCCGAATAAATTCCGAATAAATTCCGAATAAATTCCGAATAAATTCCGAATAAATTCCGAATAAATTCCGAATAAATTCCGAATAAATTCCGAATAAATTCCGAATAAATTCCGAATAATTTCCGAATAAATTCCGAATAAATTCCGAATAAATTCCGAATAAATTCCGAATAAATTCCGAATAAATTCCGAATAAATTCCGAATAAATTCCGAATAAATTCCGAATAAATTCCGAATAAATTCCGAATAAATTCCGAATAAATTCCGAATAAATTCCGAATAAATTCCGAATAAATTCCGAATAAATTCCGAATAAATTCCGAATAAATTACGAATAAATTCCGAATAAATTCCGAATAAATTCCGAATAAATTCCGAATAAATTCCGAATAAATTCCGAATAAATTCCGAATAAATTCCGAATAAATTCCGAATAAATTCCGAATAAATTCCGAATAAATTCCGAATAAATTCCGAATAAATTCCGAATAAATTCCGAATAAATTCCGAATAAATTCCGAATAAATTCCGAATAAATTCCGAATAAATTCCGAATAAATTCCGAATAAATTCCGATTAAATTCCGAATAAATTCCGAATAAATTCCGAATAAATTCCGAATAAATTCCGAATAAATTCCGAATAAATTCCGAATAAATTCCGAATAAATTCCGAATAAATTCCGAATAAATTCCGAATAAATTCCGAATAAATTCCGAATAAATTCCGAATAAATTCCGAATAAATTCCGAATAAATTCCGAATAAATTCCGAATAAATTACGAATAAATTCCGAATAAATTCCGAATAAATTCCGAATAAATTCCGAATAAATTCCGAATAAATTCCGAATAAATTCCGAATAAATTCCGAATAAATTCCGAATAAATTCCGAATAAATTCCGAATAAATTCCGAATAAATTCCGAATAAATTCCGAATAAATTCCGAATAAATTCCGAATAAATTCCGAATAAATTCCGAATAAATTCCGAATAAATTCCGAATAAATTCCGAATAAATTCCGAATAAATTCCGAATAAATTCCGAATAAATTCCGAATAAATTCCGAATAAATTCCGAATAAATTCCGAATAAATTCCGAATAAATTCCGAATAAATTCCGAATAAATTCCGAATAAATTCCGAATAAATTCCGAATAAATTCCGAATAAATTCCGAATAAATTCCGAATAAATTCCGAATAAATTCCGAATAAATTCCGAATAAATTCCGAATAAATTCCGAATAAATTCCGAATAAATTCCGAATAAATTCCGAATAAATTCCGAATAAATTCCGAATAAATTCCGAATAAATTCCGAATAAATTCCGAATAAATTCCGAATAAATTCCGAATAAATTCCGAATAAATTCCGAATAAATTCCGAATAAATTCCGAATAAATTCCGAATAAATTCCGAATAAATTCCGAATAAATTCCGAATAAATTCCGTATAAATTCCGAATAAATTCCGAATAAATTCCGAATAAATTCCGAATAAATTCAGAATAAATTCAGAATAAATTCAGAATAAATTCAGAATAAATTCAGAATAAATTCAGAATAAATTCAGAATAAATTCAGAATAAATTCAGAATAAATTCAGAATAAATTCCGAATAAATTCCGAATAAATTCCGAATAAATTCCGAATAAATTCCGAATAAATTCCGAATAAATTCCGAATAAATTCCGAATAAATAAAAAAAAAAAATTAGACTAAATTAAAATAAATTAAAATAAATTAAAATAAATTAAAATAAATCAAAATAAATTAAAATAAATTAAAATAAATTAAAATAAATTAAAATAAATTAAAATAAATTAAAATAAATTAAAATAAATTAAAATAAATTAAAATAAATTAAAATAAATTAAAATAAATTAAAATAAATTAA